ATTATATTATACTATATTATTTTTTTTTTATGTTCTATGTTGTTACATGATTTAAAATAGCGAAAAAAATAAAAATAATAATTAAATGTACTTAATATTGAAATACAAAATACGAAATATCATTCGATGGGTTATAAAAGGTCAACGTTTCAAATAATTATTATATGGGCTTAAATAAACAATACATTTTTGACGAATAAAATTATGACACAAAAATGTTTCAACATAGCCAAAAAAAAAAAAAAGAAAGTCAGACATGGAAAAATTGCTTGGTTGTTTTACATCTGATATTATTGAGTTCTTCTTTGATAAAAGTTTTAATACCCATTTATATACGATCAGTGATGACGAGTTTTTCATATACCGGCAATATTTTTGTACCTATCCAATTTAAAATTAAAATAATTGAACCTTAATCCGACACAAATTCAAATCACTTATGAGATACAAAATCTTTCTCAGCCCCAAGGTTGTTTGGATACATGCCAATATGAATTATCTTTATAGATGTCCGAATTATTTTGTTAGCAAAGAAAGTAAAATGCAACTTTTTTCACTAAAAATTTAATACATTATATAAAATTAAAATTTATCTATTTTGTAGTTTCTTTTTATTCAGTCGTTTAACTTTAAGCGTTTCCTAAATAGCAATTATGTGGGTTGGTAACTAATTTAAATTAAATTTTACATGGCTTTAAGCTTTTTATTTTTACAAAGATAACATAGATAGATTGTAAAATTACTTTTTATTTCTCTAAATATACCCTTTCCCTAAAGATTTGTCAATCACAAATATTAATGTCATAAATCATATTTATTAAATTATATTAAGGATATTTTTATAACCATGATAGATTTGACTCATAATGCTTACAAATACTGTAGAACGTTTTTAATCTGATTTGTTATAATGACTATGACTACATTTATAATTATGTTAATTGTGATGAGACAATAATGTTATACGCAATTTTATGTGTTAAAATTAAGTTAAGTGATTTGATTTTACACTTAATTACATTCATTTTTAATTGTTGCATATTTTTATTAATCATTCTAAAAACTTAAAAAAAATGAACAACCTTTATAGATAAAAACCGTCTTATTAATTTAAAATAATTTAGATTTTATAAATTACTTAAAAATTAAACTTAATAATTTAATAGGTTATATATTATTTTAAAATGCAATTAGTTGTACGTGTTACATTTAAAAATATTTAAAATTATTATATATTATAAAAATTGTAATTTGTTTATTTTTATATGAACGTTTTTGATTGGTTTTTATAAATTTCTAAAGAAGAATTGTTTTTGAATAATATATAAACACAATTTATTAATATAACCACGTGAACATCAATACTAAAATTTAAATTTTAATATATTTTTACTATTATTTATATAATCACATTAATTACCTGATTGTGAAAATATAAAAAATTGCTCAATATTGAATCATATTACACATATAGGTAGGTATTAGGTATAAACTCATTATAAATAACAAATTTGCCTTAACAAATTCAAGTTTACAGTTATCAGACATTTACAAACGTAGGTGATAAATAACAGGAAGGTACCTACGCAATTAGTGTACAATTAAAGAACGAAACAGAATGTTCATTTCACAAATAATTAAAGATACAACATTATAATCTCCAATCATTTTATAGAAAAAGTAAACATATAAACGAACCTATATAATAATACGTTTAAGCTGTTAAAATTAAAACAATTTAAGTAAATTAATTTATGTCTTTCAAAAACCCTTTATATGTAATTGAGATTTTAGTTGGCATGGAACAAAATGTAATTTATGAATCTAAACGATGTGTTGAATAGTCGTAAAAACGTTACGAAGATGTTTTAATTATACAATTGAAACATTAAGAGTACATAGCTACATATTCTATTTACTTAAATATTACTTTGGTGGGGTATAGTTATATATAAAAAAAAAAAATGTTAATTATTTTGAATAATACGATTAAATAAATTAGCAAAGTGTTTTATCTACAATTGGAAAAAAACGCCATTGATGTACAGTGTTTATCATGATATACAGTGTAATGTTTTTGATCAATTAACTTATTTATAAATTTAAGTGGTTTTTAATATTTTGTTCAATTATTACCTTAGAAATTTATTATAACAATTGATCTAACATTAAAATTCTCATCGATAAGTATCCAATTTACTTTTTATTATTTTTTATTTGCAAAAATTCGGTTTTAATTAGCCTTTTGTTTGTTGAATGTTTAAATGCATTGAACCATTTATATCATATAATATTTTATATGAAAAACAAATTTATTGTTTGTTCAAAGATATCCTTTAACACGACATCTGCAACTACTGTTACCAACGTGGAAGTTTTTGCAATGTATTTGATATAGTATTTAATTATTGACGCGGAAAAAAATAAATTTTTTTTACCATATTATATTGAATTTTAAAAGTATTTTTTTAAGAAAATTCAATAACACTAACTACACCGGTTTTTTGAAAAATGAATGCAATCGAATGAACAATAGATATCGTTTGGTCTTTTTTAAGGTAATAAAAGACCAGAGTTTAAATATATTTATTTTTTTACTATTATATCACTTCTCTTTCGTTTTATATTTTCGTTACCAAAGAAGGGTTTCAATTTTTGTTTTAATTTTGTTTAAAAACCAACGCATAATGATAAACAAATATTTTTTTGCATTCTGCTTCTTTCACCTCTTCTCTACTATACCAAGTTTCAACGATACCACGTGAATAATGAATAAGGTCATAATCATAATTTTGATCATTCAATACTCAAAAATACACTAAATAAGTTACAAATTAAAGTAAACAGATAATGATGATGATTATTGATTATTTAGATATTTCACATGTGTACTCACTTAAAAGTGTGGTTTATGTTGGTCACTCCTGTTATGATATATTTTGAGTAAATTATAGTTATAAATTTTATGAAAAATTATGTGCAACTTGTTATAAGAAAAATTATGTTTAAGTAGAAAAATAAAAGTTTGAAAAAAAAATGTGTTTTTCTTTTTTTTCTCTTTAAGAATTTAAAATTATTGTTTTTTTATATTAAATACTTTAATATAATACAGTAGACGCCGCTTATAAGACTCACGGATATAAGGTTCAATCGCTTATTAGATTCAAAATCGTCTGGAACGGTCCGGACATATCCAAATACATTAAAAAAAATTGGTTATAAGACTCAACACTTCGGTTATAAGACTCAAATTTCGTAAAATAAATAGTAGAAAATAAACTTTTTTGGTTATAATTTAGAAATAATTTGGTATTGAAAAATTAAATAATATTCGTGTTGATTATTTCTAGTTTCTGTTGGTATCTTATAACGTATAATAATTTTTATCGCAGATAAAAGTTCACATTTATCGCAACGATAATTGTTATTATAGTGTACTGATTATCTGGCGGCTGCACAGTTATCGTAATATGTAATATTTACTTATTATAATTTTAGTTTTTTTATCGGGATTATTAAATTTATTCAATAATAAAGTATGTAATATGCAATATGTGTTAATGTATTAAAATCAAAGCAAAATATGTAGTAAAATAAAATTTATAAATACGTAATTATTTTTTTTTCCACTTCGCCTATAAGACTCATTCGGTTATAAGATTCACTTTGTGCTGGTTCTAAAGTGAGTCTTATAAGCGGCGTCTACTGTATATGTATAAAGCCATAATTACATAATATAATAACAATACGTATACGAAAAACAATATATATTTTTCAATATTTCAACTTTTCAAACAATGATTAGAAGTGTAAGACATAGCAATCTATATAATGTAATATCTATTATTCTAATACAAGGCTATACTTCATAATTAGCAGAAAACGTATTATGTTATTATATTTGTGAATGTTATTGCGTCATTTTAATATAATCTTTATATTTTTATTTATATAAACATATAATTTTTAACTATGTTTAAATATTAAAAGCCTAACCTTCTATATAGTGCATTCAAATTGCGTATATTTTAATAAAAATATTTATTAATAAATAATAAATTTACGTAAATTAAGTACTTTTTTTAAAAATTTTTTGGTATTTTTGAAACCGTATCACGATAATTTATCGATCAATGAACACTAAAAATTTTATTGTTTCTTATTTGAGGTAACTATATAATTATAATATGTCATTAAATGTTATTTTGATTGATGTGACATGTATCCTCAATGTATAAATCATATTATTTTTTTTTAAATATTTATTTGGTGTTTAATTTTATCTAAAAAAACAACTGCCAACTACTAATAACTTAAGCATAACCTATTATCATTATTTTAAATGTAACATTATAATGAACTTAAGATTATGGTGACGAATAAAATATATTATTATGTTTATTTATTCATAATGTCAATGTATATTTGTTGTATGTTTTTCTATAAAATCTATATTTGAATTCTATTCTTCACGAAGTTTAGGTATAACTCAATTGAAGTAGTACAATGTATACTTAATGTTTTATTCTCCAATATATTACAATGTTGTTGTGTAACAAATAAAATACGTGCGAGCTTTAAATTCGACTTAACTTAGTTACTCTAAAAGACATTCAAAAAATTTAAAATATTCGCAAAATCTATTAGATCTTAAGTGTTTGAATGGAGATAAAGAAAAATAATACATTCCACTCTATGTTTACCCTTCTTGAATACTTCAACAATTTCTAACTTAACGCCAAATGGGGTTTATAAGACTTATTTCTCCAATATTTTGTTTCTGTTAAAACAAATCTCCGGGATACTTGAATTTTTTTATAGTTCAGCACTAAAGTGTTGGTCACCTTTAAATTCTTCCCTCTCATCGCGTTTGAAATGGATTGGCTATATAAGGTGACAAGTTTCTGGGTGGCACACGTGAGTGCGTGCGCGCGTGTGTTTCTCGTGCAAAAAGGTATTTACGGATGTAACCTAATTTATATGTTGTTGTATTGTTTCAGGACTGTCAACAGAACCGGAAAACGGAAAAAAAAGTAAACGCACCCCTTCTAAATTGTCTCCACTTTGTTGTTTGTTTTATGCATTTTCTTTGCTCTGTGCGATCGATTCGCATCGCCATGTTGACATTAACGGCACTGGAAGTAGACTTAATGTCCTAGGGTGCTTAGAAAAAAAAATACTTAAGAGCAACGAATAAAGAATAAAGAAAAAAAATAAGATTTAAAAAAAAAAAAAAAAATTGTAAGCAAGGGGCGCGTTTACTGCACTTTAGGAGGATGTACTCGACAAAAGTAACAGCCATGACGTTCCTGGTGGCCATATTTGCAGTAAGCCCACTCCAGTCTTCCGAAGGTAAGATATTTTTACATGTAAAAAGAGTGTAGTAATGATATCAATAGCCAACATTCATTATCTTGAAAAATATATTTACTATTTTGGAAATATATATATTTTAAATAATTTGATGTGATTAAAAAAAAAAAAATCATATTATTTCACTATTTTTAACATTAACATTTTTCTTAAGCCGAAATGCAATAGTATCGAATTATACCGAAAAAAGTTAATCTTGCAATAAAAACCAATTTGTTAACGGGGCTAATTAGGAGGTCTGGGTTCAGTTTCAATAAGGTGAAACCTGCTATAGGAATATATATATATATATATATATATACGATTTCGTAATTGTTTCATTACCGTAGTATGGTGGAATTATATATATATTATTACATAATAATAGTAAATTAAGAAATTTTTAAATAAAAAAATAAAATAAAATAAAATTGAGTGAAGTGAAAAAAAAGTCTTGCGATGGAAACATCTAATAACATAATCATCATATCATACATTTACTATATATTTATATTATTACACTTTAAAAAATTAAATTCAACAATTAAAAATAGTATTAAAACATGTTACCGTTTCTATTTTTATCGTTATTTGAGTTTAACGTTTAATGGTCACCAAAGCAACGGTTTAAATGCTTCTATTTAATAATTTTACTGCCTCACTTAAAATCTTGATTATTCGAATTATTTAGTTTTATCCAAGAGAGTAGTATTACCAGATTTCGCAAATCTGCATTACTATCGACTACGAAGTAAACCTAAATCCCATAGCAATTAAATTTGAATTATCACAAGTTAATATATCACTGTTCATATTCATTATGTCTCCTACACCCCAAGAAACTTCACTTTTATTTTAACGCCTCATTAACAACTTTTAACATGACTCCAACTGTTTCAAGTCACCACAAGGAGAAGTAATTTTCTTTGAAAGTAAAAGTTTTTGCTATTTCTTTTTTCGAATTACAATTTAATTTGTTTCTATACCATTCGTAAGTTTTTCGCTGTATCGTAATTTCGTGATTATACCGTTATCGTTCTTTTAACTAGCCTCTTGTTTTCGCTACCTACCTTTTAATTATTTTTTTCCTTCAACTAACAATAAACTTGATTACCAGTTTCTTTTATGTAGGTAACTTTGCTTTAATTCATAATATATTTAATTGAAATTATAGCAAAAAGTTAATGCATAATATTTAATGTGTATGAGTAGGTAATCTTAGTAAAAAATAACATATATTATATTTTACACGCAGTTTAATAATTTTAATATATTTTACAACTATCATTATTAGTTATGAATTCCAACAACAGAATCTGATAGTAATATTATTTTAAATATAGAAATCATTAAGTGACTGTTGGAATAATTACATTTACAATTCAAATGACACGACTGGTGGCGATATCAACGGGTTGTAGAAACCAATATTTTAGAACTGTTTTACAAATCCGTCATGTAAAGCAGAGAGGGGTCTGTGAGAATAATATTAAAAATATCTATACATCTTCTTACAATTAATTTATTTCAAAGCTATTTGACTGTAATGTTTAATACTCCAATTAAGTTTAACTATGGACATTTATGAAATGTATAAATTGTCAATTGTCATTGAATGACATTTTTAATTTCATATTCCGAAGCAAAATATTTTTCGGAGATATTAATGCATATAAGGGACATTGAAATTCCGACTAGTAATTAATGAATATATGGAAAAATACCTTGCAAAATATTGGTCTACTACTTCGCTTATCTATAAGTACCTATAATCTTTCTATAAAGACTTAAAACTCATAAATTACTCGTCTGAATTTGAATTTGTATGTATCAAAATACTCCGAAAAATATTTTGCTTTAGATTATAAAGTTTAATATATAAATTGTCAATCTTAATAGTAAAAACTTGAAAAATCATAACAAAAAAATATAATTAAAAAATATGTTTTATTTTTATAAGAAATCAAGTAAAAAAAAAATTTCAAAAACCATATTAGAGTGAAATTTTGTGTATTGTTCAATTAATGAACTACCCAATATAGAATTTACAATTTTATTTGTAATTAATTATATATTTAATTGCATTCTGGTAAAAGTAATAATTACCTTAGGATTATTATAATTTAATTTTTCTATTGCTTTTAATGAATTTAAATAGGTTTAAGTTTAAATTTATGAAGGATTAATCAAATAATAATAAATACAACCAACGTATTTGAATTTCATTCTAATATATCTAATTATTCGATATTTCTATTCAAATATTACATATTTTTCATAGTTTTATTGGAACACCGTTTTCCTTTAGCTATAATATGTCTGTTATAGCTATTTTACGTGTTTTAATGTATATGGTTATGCAAAAAAATAGCATATTACTTCTGAATTATTATTTCGTTTAATGCAGAAATCAATGAATACAAAGTCAAACAAAGTTCAATAACGACTTTTTTTTTTTAGCGATGACAACGACTAGACTAGGAGTTTTAAACAGTGATGAAATGTCGTAGCTAATGACCGGTTGTCTTTTAAAAGTTAATTAATTTTTTTTTCTGATCATATGATTGAACTTATTATATTTCAATTTTTATTAAACAAACGTTAGGTACTTGTTTTATTTTTTAAATACTCTTACTCTTTTCCTTGGATCATCTAATCCAGGCAATCCAAACACGTTAACACGTAGCCCGCGAGCCGCATGTGGCCTTCAGATAATTTTTTGTTACCTATCAATATTAATAGATAAAAATAAATAATAATAAAATATTAATGCTATGTCACAACTATCTTGAAATCTTAGAGAATAGTCGATTTGGTATACATTATTATACTATCTTATCTTCTGATAAGTTAACATTTTTTTAATTTAGTTGGGTCTGCTGTATAAGTACATGTAAAGAATACAATTGAAAAATTTGTATAAAATATTTATTTATTTTTGTTAAATTATTTTTTGTGCAGCCTAAATAGTAAGCTATTTAATATATTTGGCCCACTTGACACTTTGAGTTTGACATGCCTGATCTAATATCTAGTGTGCATACTGTGGCGTTAGCGGTGGAAAACATTTTTGTAAAAGTTAGCAAGACACTGTTCTGCTTGTTTTCTCAGCCAGTCCTTACTCGTTATCGTGGTCAATTAAGAAAGAGAACGATTTTGTCTAGGTTTAATATATTTTACTCTAGAGCGACTAGTACTTGTTATCGAGGTAACAAAAAAGATAATTAAATAAGTTTTCACCGTAGGAATCAATTTTTACTTATTTTACATTCGACAGTTTAGGAATCGATAACCGAAAACATCTGTTGTATAATATTTCAAGCCTTTGCGAGACGTATACCACAATATTATCAAATCTATAAATACTATTATGCATTGAAATGTTTCTATATCGAGTATTGCGTCTGATTCGTTTATCTATTCGAAGTACGATGTAGTATCATGTGGTTAAACGTTTTGTCAGCCCTTAAACGACAGATAAATTAAATCATTGTGGATCGTTTATAATCACTGCAGTGATTGATAAGTAATCTATAATTTAATGGTGTCACTGAATTTTTATGCATAACAATATGAGCTAAACCCTGATAGATGTTACGATGATCGCTACTATGTACCTAGTATTTTACATATAGAAAAAAATAACAATGTATACTTAACCAACGCCTTTCAATCTTTATCAATACGTACAATTTTGATAATTAAAATCAAGAAACTATTCTTTTGTGCATTAGGCACACACACACATATACGCACGATTGTTGATGTAGACTTTTGTTTATTATTTTGATCGATCATTTGCAATGCTTATATTATTTTACGTTATTTTTATAAACGGGCCTATCGTATTTCTCCAATTGGATATAGGCGTGGTCTAAAAACGTATGTTGTCTTCGTATATAATATACACGGTCGACCGTTTGGTTTCAATTAATGACACAGTCATCATTCTTTACCACCGTTTACGTGGGCGTTCTGCTCTCCCCAAATCTACAAGAGTATGATAAAAATAAGTCGGCACTTATGCCCCTAGTACAACTATAGGATTTAATTTGCACAAATTAATTTTGGCATATCCGTCCACTTTATACATCTAATGTCCTATATTTTGAGTGTGCGCATCGTGAGTGTATGTGTACATGTTAGGCATAACCGCAATGGTAGTTGGCGGTGGTGGTTATGTAGTGAATCGTGGTACATGGTTCGTTCGATAACCCTGAGGATATTATTCGCGATGCAACACACGAGGTCGGGCGCTGCTGCCGCGTCGTGCCAGCTGGATTTGCCGGTGAATTTATTGCCGATAAGTTTGGCCTGGACCGGAACATTCTTGGCACAAAACAAGATTCGGCTGCCAGCAAAAGTACAAAAGTTTCATTAAAGATAAAGAACCACCCTCTCAAACTTTACACTTCACAGTAATTACCATCGAAGCGGAATTTATCTACGAAAATAATAAATGAACCCGCGAGAAATGTACTGCTACCGCACCGGTGTAGTGTGTATACTCTCGTCGTTGCAGTGGTATGACAGGGTTTAACTTCTTTGCTGCTTTATTAGGAATTTATATATATATATATATATATATATAATGTCGAAACCACTTTTCTCCTCTTTTTAACCACCAGAACGAATGCATCACCATTCACCATTGTCGGAGACTTTTGATAATGATATTATGATGACCGTTGCCAAAAAATACCTTCTTCTTTCTTAAGTTAGAATTATAAATATGCAGGTATCTAAAACTGTTTCTTAACATTGGATATTGTACTAAAAATTATATGTTCTTACCTCATTTTAAATGCAACATTTTATTGGTAATCGAAATGGCTTATAAAATGATGAACTGTTATAAGTTGTAAACGCATATTTTATATTAAATATATAAATATAAAAAAATGCTTTACTTTTATAGTTAAATAGTATGCCATGTATACGTAAATTGTTAATGAAGTCATGCATAATGAGAATTTTTAAAAATTAATTTTATAAATTTG